CCGTGACCCCCTCGACCTTGGTTCGGTGGATTGGGGGCTTGGGTTGGCTTGGGGTCTGGCTGGCTTTGGCGAAATTTGAAGAGAATAGCTGGGTCTGAGAGATTGGAGTCTAGGGCTTGAAGTAGAAAGGCTTAGGAAGGCTCAGTAGGCCTTCAGATTGACCACTAGCAGAAAGGAAGCAACACAACAAGCAAGCACCGCCGGCCAAAAAACAACACGCATTATATAGACACCCCAAATTTAGGTACCGATCTGAATAAGCGCCAGAGGCCCACCCTTCGATTTTGGCCGCCACATTACTTACGCCCCCGTGGGTACCTGTACTTTTGCCTTCGCCAAACATGCACCTAGTCGGTATGTCGACTCAACCTACAGCCCCAAACCCTGCGGCCTCGAAAGCACATACACGGTCAAGGCTAAGCTCTATAGGAGGTCACGGTCTCACAAGGTCTAGTAAAGGGAGTTTTCGTGGGTTTCAAGTTCAGCTTGCACTAAACCCGAAGCCCTAAACGCCCTCAACCCTCAGCCTTACTACAGACGCAGACAATGTAGGTGTTAGAATAGGGTGTGGGGCATATCGTGCTATATTGCTTAGTATATATATATATACATAATAAAGAATAGTATAAGCTCCTACATTATTCGGACACCATCCCACATCTGGAGATCCGGGTCAACTAACTAGCTAAACTTTAAGCCCGAAGCCACCACAATCAAAGAAGAACGCAGAAGACGCTAGAAACCCTTCACTCCAAAGCAGCTGACCCTCGAACCTAAACTTTTGGATTGAACCCTGAAGCACCGAATTTTACGATAGTCAGGAACTCCCAGAATAACGACGTCCTGGAAAGACACCGTGATTGTAAGATGTTTTGGTGTTGAGCGCCTCCCTGTATTTCCCTAGTATACCCTTGTTTGCCTAGCCTTCCACCAGAGAGCCAGGCAGTGGCCAACTACACTCTTAGAAGAGGGTTTCTAGGGCTCATTATTGTGGTCGAATTCTGTGTGTGTGTGTGCATATACCTACACATATATATATATATAGAGAGAGAGAGAGAGAGAACAGACTTCCACATTGTCCAGAGTGTTGGCGGCTCGATTTGAGACCTTGAAAGTTTAGGTTTCAGGGCGTTGGAGTGTGTCAGAGCATGTTCGAAGATGTTCGATTCCCTATAGGACACATTACGAGCTAATTCGATAACAGGAGCTGGCACAGCTGCATCCGCAGCTACGAAGTGGCTATGGCACCTCGCCTTATAAGGTCCCCCCAAAAACCAACCACCCTAAGGGTCCATAATAGTCTATACTTTGGCCTTATAAAGCAGTCCCTATATAGGTACTTTGGGGGAACAGTATAGACTATTTGGGTACATCGACCCTTATAGGGCCAACGAACGGATGAGCGAACACGAACACACATACACATATAGACAAGCACACTTGCGCTTTCTTGCCGGTTCACTGGATATGTTGTTTCGTATGCGTTGTTTCTGGTTTGTGCTATTACCGGTGTTTTCTATTGTTGTTGATGTGGCTTTTCGCCTTGTAGTTGTTTTACAGTTTCAGAACAATGTTGATCCACGTTGCAACTGGTGTTCACCGCTACCGCTGTTGTTATTTTGAGCCATGATGCCCCGCATTTTCGCGAACCACATATTGTTTTACAGGTGAATGCGGGCATATCGGTGCAGAGACAGCGATTCAAGATACAAACTCATAGGCTCGTGTTGAGCCGTGCACCAAGAGAATGCACAAAAGAATCCTTTGCGCTGGCTTTCGGTGGCGCTGGAGGGTTTTGAGTGTAGAGGGCTGATAGAGTTTGGGGTCAGAGCTTCTAGGCAAGTTGGTGAAGGAGTGTTGCCTGAAGTTATCTAACGGATCATGTAGCCCGCACAGAGGTATAGTTAGACCGTGAGCTCTGGACCGATAGTTGTAGCAGCGGTGTGGTAAGATGGAGGCTACCTTTCACGCTGATTTCACGGGTTGTAGCAGTCAGGGATCACCACCTTGCAGCCCAGGCAAAAATGTTTGCTTTCCAGCACTCTAGGTTTGTTTCAGTAGCCTAGACCCTAAACCCCTAAACCCTAAGCCAATGTGAAACCCCGAACCCTTCGAACCCCAACGCCTCAGGACTGGTGCAGAAGATGCCGTTTGAAGGTCGGCGTCGTCAATCCCAGGTGGGCCCTGCTTTGCAGACTTTCCCTGAGGATACATGTACCTTAAAGCGGTTTCTAGTCTATGTAGTGACTTTAGTTCAAAAGTACATGTACCCTAAACCCTAAACCCTAAACCCTAAACCCTGTATACTATACTATAGGCTCAGTGCCCAAGGGCAGGCATGTCGGGAGCTCTTCGTCCTCAAGCCCTGAGCCGTCCCAAATAAATGTAGGGGCCTTAATAGCGACCTACATTATTTTCCGGGGTTCCTTATCATATTTATAGTGTAATACGCCCCAAAACCCTGTTCTAATTATCACGGTCCCTACATTAATCAAATCCGTCAAGTCAGATCCCTGAAACCCTAAACCTTAAACCCTAAACCCTAAACGCCTTGCGGCCTTGCCCAGGACTCCCAGGCATCAGGCGGTCCGGCTGTGCCGAACCTCAAGGCCGTTTGGCGCGGGTTCAGGATTCAGGATTTGATACTACACCCTGAACCGGCTTAGGGTTTAGGGTTTAGGTTTTAGGTAAGTGCGTGTTGTATTTTCGTCTTGACGAAACAGTTGCTCGTAGCTGCATACCCCAGTATGTACCGTCTTTTCAACTGGGAAGTCCCTGCCCTCGAGCATCTTGCCGGCATACAATCCAAGCCCGTGCTCAAAAAGGGTTAATTTAGGTAAGGGCTACCTATAGTCTCCATTGCAGTTCTTTTTTTTGGTTTAACCAATTACATACTAAGGATTTTATAAGGCATCCCAAAAAGGAACTACAATGGAGACTATAGGTGCACCCTAAACCCTGAACCCTAAACAATGATACTAAGCCCAAAACCCCAAAAATCCCAAGACCCCTAAACCCATAAACTCTGATACTAAAACCCAAAACCCAAAACGCTTAGACCCCTAAACCCGAGACCCTGATACACAACCCAAAAACCAAAACCCCTAAACCCTATAAGTCCTAAGCCCTAAACCCTCAGTCGAGCAGAGGTCACTAAAGCTGTTCAGCTTTTGCCTGACTTTGCTCTCAGTTCTCAGATTTCCCCAAGCCTGCCGTTTAGGGTTTAGGTTTTAGGGTTTTTTAGACATGTGGGTCCGGAAATTTCATCTTAAAGCCTCAGTCGTCGGAGAAGTCCTGCGTTACACCGATTTGGGAGTTTCTCAAAACCGGAAGACGTTGTGACCGCGGAGCAGGTTCCAGGTAGGGCCGCCGTTCCTCAATAGAAGGGCACCCGAAAAGGGGCGATGCCCAGTTATATGAAGCCTCCTGTTGTAACCCTAAACCCTAAACCCCTCAACCCCCTAAACCCTGTTGCATAACCTGACGAAACTGCGACCCAGACAGGCTGCTGTGGCTGTGGCGAAGTTCAAGAAGAAGCTAGACCTGCGTCTCATCCCAAACGTTGGAGGGTTGTATACGTTGCTTCTGGGAGGCTCGGCATAGTGTTTTGCGAGGATTGGCTACGAGGGTTTCCATCGAGTTTCGAAGCAAGGCTGAGGGGTTTCTTAGAATTCGGAGTGCTTACTTGCGGGTCCTGGTAGCGAGAATCTTCGTAAATAGTAATGTTCCTATTATTGCCGAATAGTTTCTGTCATGCTTCTTTTCTCCAAGCTGTGGGATCAGGTTTCAGGTACTAGGGGTGGCTCCAGGGGTTCTAAAGTTCAAGCTTTTCATCAAGCATGACTGCATGAGGGCTTGATAGCACTTTCAGGAGCAGCCTGAGGCGGAGTTCAGCTGGGTTCGCATAGCAAGGAACACAGGTTAGGGTTTGGGGGTTCTTTCTAATGTAGTTTAAGAGGAACTCAGGGTTCAGCAGTCAAGCTCCTGTTATAAAGGTAGTTGAAGCTGCTCTACCATGATAGGGGAGTCATCACATTTGCTATGCATCCTCATTGTGGTACTTTAAAGTCAGTTCCTTCACCAGATCCCAGTACGAAAAGCACTTATCCCTGGACGATTCCTGCCCAAAGCTCTGCAGCCTCTGCGGAAGTCGCATTTTACTATGTGGATCTTTCGCCCTCAGAAATCCAACCCTAGGTCTTGGGTGGCTAAGGTAGAGTTTAGATGTGTTGGGTTTGAGGGTTCTGCCAGGGCTGAGGCTTAGAACTTGCATCCATAAGTCGCTGCCGGTGAGTGATTTTCTGTATATCTCTACATAGGGCGTTTACAGTGTCTTTATGTTTAAGGTCTTGGGGTTTACTCGTGTGTCCCAACTCGCGAAGGAGCAACAACATCAAGAATCTTCGTCACTCGGAAGACATCGATGCTGCCCCATAGTTCGTGGTTGAGATGATCAGTTATAGATCTTTGAAACAGTTTGTGACTTTGCGATAACGGTTGATGTGGTTGTTGTGGTGTAAGCCGTGGCGGTGCGCCCTCTGTTTGGCCTGGTTTCTGGAAGGCTTACGACGACGTTGACAGGGTTTGTACCAACATTTACTCTGAAGTTTTCTCTCAGTCAACCCTGAAGCAAGCCTGAAGCTCCTATCTGTAAATCACGAAAAGGATCCGTCTATGGAGTATGGGTTTAGTGCAATGCCGATCTTAGGCATCAGTCGTTTTGCTGGCTTGCTGAGCCAAACAAGATAGAGTTAGCAGGTTTTGTGAGTTCAGGGTTTCGGGTTTGGCGTTATGGATTTTTTGCTATCGGTTACGCAACACTGGGGGTAGGGGTTCAGAGGCGATGAAAGGAACATCGAGCCACTTGATTCTGACATTGCTTGTATGGTATTATAGGCCAAGTCTTCTGGCTTGTCTGCAAAAGTAGGACTTGCGGTTTGCGGCGGTCACGGTCACTACTTAAAGGAACATGGTCGCATGATTGTCGTGGAGGCTCCGAAGTGCAGTGTTTTTGGCGGATGAAGCTCCCCTTGGTTTGGGGTGTGGCATACGGCCATCCATGAACATGCAACTATGATGATCTTTACAGGAATATAATTTGCCAGAAGAATAAAGACATTCAGACTACCAGCGGTAACGCCATCAGGCTCATCGCAGCAGTGACAAAAACTGCCAATGGTAGGATTTGTAGTGAAGATGACCAAAACTAAAACTAATGAAACAGGAGAACAATAACAACCGTAGAGAGGAACTAACCCTGAGGGTCCAAGTAGTCCTTACTTATGGTTTTACGTACCCAAAGTCCTTAAATAATGGGTACTTGGACCCTTAGGGTAACATTCTCAGAGAAGTAAGAGCCTTTTGCAGCGGAAGTTCCTGATCCGAAGCCGATTTCGCGTTTCAACTGCCAGAAGGCCTGAAACCCTAAACCCTAAACACGGTTTTAGGTTTAGGGTTAAGGGTTAAGGGTTTAGGGTTTAGGGTTAAGTTTAGGGTTGAGGGTTAACTTATGCAGTCTGTTGTTCCTCACTGCCTTGATGCCCAGAGCATCTCTGGTAGGGGCTGTCATAGCCTGGAGTTCAGGAATTGGGTTTTCCTGCTTGAGGGTTTCGGCAATATCACGCGTTCTCGGACCACTGCCTGCCTCCATCCAAAGATATAAGCTTAATGTGTCTCCTGTTCAAAATTTATACCTTACACCAGAAAGTAAACCCTATACCATACAGTCTTTTTCGATGGCCTCGTTTTTTGCAGTGGCGGGAGAAGCACAGGTAAAGAGAAGAAGGATCTGGAAGCTTCTGTGGAAGATGCTGCCGAAATGCCCCCCGCAGGCATCTTTTCATCAAGTAACACATGTGATGCTTCAAATACTACAGCTGCCCCCGACACGGGGGTTTCCGAAAATAGGGACCCTAATATAGTACCCTAAATAGTAGGATCCTTATTATAAGGACCCCTAAATAAGGTACCCTAATTTTCGGAAACTCCGACACATCTAGGAGTTCGGAGGAGCCACCATGCCCATTCATCATTGATGATAGTAACCTATAGTACTATAGGGCTTAGGGTCAAGGATTTAGGCTGTAGGGTGTAGGGTTTTGGGGTTTAGGCTTTGGAAGATTCTTCTTGTGGCTTCCCCCCTGGGCACTGTAGATCTCAACCCCTGAACAGCAGAAACCTAAGACTTTGCACCCGCAGAAAGTGACCGTGGAAGCAGCATAAATCCCTAAACGCCCAAGAAACAGAAGCCGTGAACAAAACTGACCCGGCCCTAAACCGACAGCTTTTTGAAGCCCAAACCCCAAGCTAAACGCTCAAGCGACAGGAACACGTCACCTGAGTTGCGGCACAACACTGGTCTTGTTTCTCTAGTTGTCTCCTCTAGTCCTCCGCTGGCCTTGCCGAGAAACAGCCCTAAATCCCTTTTGTCAAAGCCTTATGGACTGCTCAAAGGAACTACCTATAGTCTCTATTGTAGTTCCTTTTTGGGGATACCTTATAAATCCTTAATATATAATTGGTTAAACCAAAGAAAGGAACTACAATGGAGACTCAAGGTAGCCCTTACAGGAATCCTGGCGGAATGCTTCTAAGAACACTGCACCGTTCTGCGGCTCCGAGGTTTTCAGGTCTCGTACAGCACAGCTG